AAATAATCTTATGTAACTCTATTTATTTTTAAAAATATTTTAAAATTAAAACATTTAAAAACAATAAATCAAAGTTTTTAAGACAACCCGATTCAAACCAATTATCCGAGTCCATTCTCTTATTATTATTATTATTATTATTAATTCGTGATCAATATAATCAATTATTGTTCAATATTTTGTTTCTCTTATTTCTTGAATTGTCGGCGACATGGTCATCTCCTGATCAATCGGTCAGTCTGATCTATTTCTAAAATAATGTTGTCAACGTAACACTTTTTTAAAAAATAAAATAAAATACTAAACAAAGTAGTAAATTGTAAGACTAATAAATGAAGAGTATTAGGATAAGACTGTTAATAGCAATTAAGAAATATTATATGCTCTTTAATGTTTAAAATTCGAAGCATAGTCCACCAGATGTGGCATGTGGGGCTGTCATCGCCAATTATTCTCACTTCTTTTCTGTGTATATATCCCTTTCGGGGTTGAGTATGAGAGTTATCAAAATCCGATTAAACTGAGAATTGTCACGTGATTGATCAGCTCAGTAAAGAAGAAAATGATTGAAAATTGGTTAAATCGGCTAAAATTGATATTAATTGACAACAATCAGTATTGAAAATTGATTTGAACAGGTGGTGAGTGATTGTTATTATGTTAGAGATTTCGTTTCTCTTTCTTCTCAAAACATAGATTAAATTCAAATTTTTTCACTCTTACCCTACTCAATGATTCCAATAGTGTTGTATTCTATTTTTTATAACGCATTGTCTCTAACTTAAAAAATGCTTAATCTTTGTTTCTAATATTAATCATGTTTCATTTTGACATCGATGATGCTGCATGCATTTCTAATAATGCTCATCTTTTTTTTTTTTTTTTTTTAATTTGTTCAATTTTTCTTGCAACTCTTTTTGTAATATTTGTTTCATTTATTGTTCTTCGTATGTGTTCTAATTTTTAGTTTATCAACGGCGAAATTTATTTTTGATGTAGTCCAAAAATAAGTAGAATTAAGTTTTAACTCAAACTTGCTTTAATCCATCCGTCAAACTCATAACCTATTCAACTCATGACCCACTTAACTAGAAAGAAATTTCATAGGAAAGCGGTTCCAATTTTTTAGAAATTCAATTCTCTCAATTTTAGAGTCCCAACCCACTCGAATCTATGTATTGCCTGATCCTAATTTGAATTGATAATTACAAGATATTATTTTATAAACTTTTTTTATTTTAAAATATTTTTAAATAAATGAAAACTCATACAAAATGTTTATGTATAACTTTATTATTTTTTAACTATTTATTATAATTTTTATGTTTTAAAATATGTAATATGATTATTGAATATTATTTTAAAATTTTAAACTTTTTATATAATTTTATATTAATTTATTACTTAATGTATTCTACAACATCAAAATATATCTTTTATTATTTATCAATTTTATTTCAATTCAAGTACTGATGAACGAATAAGTTGTAAACTAGCGTTCTCATCAATTTAATAATCGATATAATTTTAAAAACAGTAGCATAACAATGTTAATTGTTTATTAGTCCTAGAAACTAAACTCATCTTTACATTAGAAAAAATCTCATTTATTATTGTTTCTTTATTCCATTATATATACAATTATACAAAAGTGCAACTATTGTAATGACCTCAATTTTTGTGGTCCTTGTACAGAAAAATATGAGTTTGGGGTACAGGGTATCTCGCTGTAGTAAAATATCTCTTACTATAGTGAGAAAGAGAGTGTAAAATTAGGCATTCTGATGTTCTCTCGCTGTAGCCAGAATCTCTCGATGTAGCAATGATGCTCTTGTAGTTAGAATGACAAATAGTAAAGAAAAATTTTATTTGGCTTTTTCGTTGCAGCGAGAGGAGGGCTTGTTGTAATGAGAAACTCTCGTTGTAGCGAGAATATCACGAGTTAAGGGGTATTTAAGGGCATTCAACCTAGGGAACTTGGATTACAATCCAAAAATCCCGATCTCTCTTCTATTCTTCCCGACCTCTTACCCTCTCTTCTCAGAAATCCTCTTCTAGACTTCAATCTTTCCTCAAATCCGGGCTTGGGAGCTCAACCATTCAAATCCAAGGAACCTTCATCCTCAACCCAATATTCTCTATCGGAATGTGCCTCTTCCTTGGATCTTTAGGAAAACTCGATTTAAGAGACTCATTTCCAGGTAAGGGGAGTTGATCCCAAACCCTAACTCCTTCTTGGTATTTTGGTTCGAAAATGTTAAGTTTCTATTAGGACCTTAAAATAATAAGGTTTTCTTAAAAGTCTAATGTGTAGGGTAGAGAGTTTGACATGAAAATCCTCTTTTTAACCCCTAACCTTGATATTTTATTTTTGATAATATAACCCCAGTGATTCTCTAAATTGTATAACTACAAATGAAATTTGGGTATGAGGAACTAATAATTTAATCCAAAGATCATTTAGGTAAAATTTTATAGTGAAAAGATTAGTAACTAAGTTTTTGAGGAAATTTTTATATTTTATTATTATTTATGTATAAACAAGTAATATTGAACTTTAGGATAAACGATCTTATTACTGTTAAGAAAGTGTGTATGTTGAATTGTATAATTGGGCTGAGTCCGGAGGTGTCCGATCTCTGGTACATTATATTGATCTATGTAGTGCAAAATTGTCTGAGGATTTTTTGTGTTAGATGGATATGATACTATAAATATGAATGTTTGTTGATGATTGATGCATGTTGGAATAGGTGAAATTATGTTATTAATGAAAAGTGTTATACTATTCTAAAATGAAGAAAGAGTTTTATTTATGAAATGAAATGAGATGGAATTGTGAGAAATGTGATTATAATATGTGAGCCAGAATAGATTGTTGGATGTGATTATGATACAGGTATTATAGTGCATCAAAAGGTGTACTCATAATATATGTATTGTAATACATTAAGTTATATGATTAAGACTCACGTATTATGACACGTTGATCTATGAGAAGGATATGAAAAAGAATGAGAATAGTTGAGAAATGCTGATAGTAAGTATAGATAGCTACAGAGATACACTGGAGTATAGAGTCCGGAGAAGATTTGAAAAATCTTTGAAAAATTAGGTTGGTGAATGTGCCACACACTCATTTCCTAACGAGACTCCTGACTATACCTTTGCTACAGCTAACTAGTAGCTATCTATGCTATGAAGTTCTTAAGGGATCTCAGGGGCAATGAATATGAAAGTGTAATGAATATGAAATTGTGATGAACATGAAGTAATATAGAAATTGTATGATTATAATATATACATTGTAACATATTGATAATATTGTTACGATATATGTGTTATAATACATTGACGGGTGCGATTAGGACACACGTATTGTGACATATTAACTGATGTGATAGAATACATGTATTATGACATATAGATTAATATAGAAAATGTATGTCGTAAATAATTACAAAAATAATTGATTTGTTAAATGTGTGCTTTTCTTTAATGATGATTTATGTGTTTTGAGTGTTATTGTTAATTAGTGGGTGTTAGAAATGTATTAGCCAATATTTTCTATATTATATAAATTTTATGTCGAGCAAAAAGATTTAGTGGGGCGGTAAATACTCTTCCTTACTAATATTTTCAGGTAATGAAAGTGAAGAGATAAAGGTGACTGGTCCGTTTTAGGATCATAATCCAGTGATATTGGAAGAAAGACTGCTCTGTAGGGACTAGAACAGTTTAAGAAATTATAATATTTTATCTTAATTACATTTCATGTTGACTAAATTTTGTAAATATTTTTTTTAATGTCAAAGTTTAGAATTTATAATGTTTTAGTAAATTTTGTTGTAATAAATAGTTTTAGAGATGTTCTTAATTTTGAACTTATCTGTATACCATGTGATCTAGATAATATATTAGATGTAAATTTAAGTTTTATTTATTACTTTAAAGTCTTTGAATTTATTTCTTTAATATTTTAAATATTTTAGAATTTTATAAATTTTTTATAAAATGAGTTTTATTTTTATTCAATCCTTAAATTTATAAAATAGAATAATTTTTTTTATTTTTTTATAAAATTTATTTAGTTTAAAATAAGAAATTGAGGATGTTACAACTATCAATAAAAAATTATTATTTAATCATAATTTGATATTAAATTGAACTTTATCAATATTAGTTTTTGTTAAAAATTAATATATATATATATATATATAATATTTATACAATAATATGATATATTATATGAATAAATATTTTATAAATAAAAATACTAATATATACTATAATGTATAAAATATTATTATAATATATTATATGTTAATTTAAATATTTTGAGTCTATATAAAAAAAAATTTTGTTAAAAAAACTATTTAAACTGTTGACAATTTTTATTTGTTAATAAATAATAATTTTTATATAGTGTATTCATGAGTTGACACATGTCTTGTTTAATTAATAAATGAATCTTATTAACCAATACTTTAAAGATAAATAAATAGCAATATTAGTTACAGAATAATTAATAGATTGAAAAATATTATAAGTACATATTTTTATTTTTTAAGGTAATTTAACATATTTTTTAATATTTAATTTGTTAACCGATATTCTAACAAATTTGAATAATAAAAAGATGTTCGTATTAATTTTTAGGACATAGTTTAAATAAATAATGATAGTAAAATTTTATTACAATTTAATATCCTTAATATAATAAAATACATTTTAGTTATAGAAGTTGGTACTTTTAAATAATTTAATTTAATTTAAAGGACTAAAATTAATAAAATTCTTAAAAATCTTATGATTGAAAAAATATAAACAATCTTTTTAAATTAAAAATTATAATAATGTTGCACTATATATATAGCAATTTGGAGAGAAAAAGATTAAACCTCAACCTCGTTTTACTTTAAACATGTTGTAGAATGGTTAAAAATAAAGTTGTTAATAGATAATTTTAGTTAAGAGCTATCACTTCATTCATCTTCCACATTCAGCACCCTGTTTCTATTCTCCATCTCCGCGTGAAAGCTTTCACACCTCATTGATTTCCCACCCACCACCACCACTCCTTTGACATCATATAGCTCTCTGTCTCCCCTTAATTGCTTCAACTCTTCAATTATTTAGTCATCAAATAAGCAATTATCATGAATACAAGTTACCCTCCTTTCTTCTTCCTTTTCCTCCTTCCTGCCTTTTGCTTTGCCTCCTTAGCTTTTGGAGCCACTCTGTCCACAGATGAAGGTATCTAATTAGCTTCCAATAATTTCCCTCTGTTTTCTTTCATTGCTAGCTAAATTATTCTATCTCTAACTCTGTTCCTCCACAATTGAAAATTTTGCCTTGAAAAGTATGTAAACTTCGTTATAGACTTGTACAAACTTGCTTGATATGATCTTATTAATATCATACTTTAAAGTTGAGTTTAAATAAATAAAATCATGATTTTTTAGTTGTGGTTATTACAGTGCAAGTTCTGAAAGATATAGGTAAGACACTTGGGAAGGACTGGGATTTCAGCGTAGATCCATGCAGTGGAGAACGTAATTGGACATCGTCTGTTCAAGTGAAAGGGAGCGAAAATGCTGTCACATGCGGCCATTGCTCCTATGCTAATCAAACCAATTGTCATGTCACTAACATGTAAATATCTTACTCTTTTCTCTATGTTCTTCAGCTCTCAGCGGTCAACGCCGTGATGATAAAAAAATCAGTTAAGTAAAAGGCCTTAATTAGATTCTTCAAAGAAACACACTCTTTCAACTTTAAAGTTTCAATGCTTTACTTTTTGGAGTTGTAAAAATTCATAAAACTCATTTATTATATTTAGATATTAAATAAAAAATTGTTATAGTCTTTAAAACTAGATTTAAGCAACTAATAATAATTTTTTTTAAATATTCATCAATTTTTTGTTATTATTTAAAAAAGATTATTTCAACTCTGTTATTATAACTTTTGTGATTGTTTCTGGTTTAGAAGATTTTTAACGTTTTTCCCAACAAACGCTTGAACAACTTGATGTCTAAGCGCAATGATGCAAGTTGGCGGTGTTCTGTCAATTTTTGCTACTTATTCCGTAGTCTATACAGGCTGTACTGTTTTATGAACATAGTACGGTCTACCTTTTACTTTGACTTTTTAAGACGGCAAAAGGAAAAAAATAATTAAGCCTAACTTTTTAGATATATTTTAGTGCTAAGCTAAAGTTTTATTTCAATAATTTGTTACAACATTAAATACTATCTTTTCTATTAATTTTTTTAATTACAAATAATAGTTAAATTACTTAAAAATATTTACCTAAATTTTAGTTTTTTGAACTTGTGAGATGTCGGTTTGTCTAACTTGGTCTATTTCTCTGTCACACTGTTAATGAATCAACCATGCAATGGAAGCAAATTCCTTGATGTTATAGTTTATTTTTTAATTAAAAATGTGTTAAATTTAGACTTTAAGATTAATTTTAAATACTCAAAAACGATAAATTTTTATTAAAAATAAATTTTTATTAAATTATAGAATACAAAGCTGTAATCATTATTTTACTAAAATTTTACTATTTTTAATTGTTTAAAATCTGTCTTTAGAAAATTAATATTAACAAACCTATTTTATATTCAATTGGTCAGAATTACTGCATACTTTTGAATTAAGTGTAAAAAACCCATACATTTATTTAATTTAAATACAAATTTTATTTTGAACAAGTCTTATTCGATATGTAAGTCCAACTTGCCCACGCGGATTAGTGAAACCACCAAACAAAGATTTATGTTCTTTCTATCTAAGCAAGTGTTTTAAATATATGACAAACTATATAGAATCAAACTCTACGGATAATAGAACAGTATTGAACCATACTGGACCATCATTTTTTCTTTGTTTATAATAAAATACCCTTGATTTTAGGGATACTTAGTTTTAATAGCATAAATATGTTGTTATGTTGTTACTGTAATTATAAATTACTGTATCAATAAAAATAATTTATCGTTATGATAATTATTTTAAAAATTATATCACTTATATATTCTAATTGGTTGATAGTATAAAACATTTATACTGGTAGTGCATTAAAATTACTCTGATAAAATATTTAATATTTAATCTTAAAATGACAGTGCATCAAAATAGAAGTATGAAGTGGAGACATAAAGCTTAGTTAGACAAACTCATTAACACCTCTAATACAAATTATTTTGGGCAATTTGATGTAGTTTTCAATCATCAATCATGTCACGAATTGTTTAAATTACAATTTATTAGAATTTGTGTTACATATGACACAGTTTCCATTAGATCAAAATTAAATACTTTATTTTGCTTACTATTTTTATAATATATCTTTTAAACCATTTTCATGGATATTTACACGTAGAATTTTGAAAGAACAAAATCTCCCAGGCATTCTACCGCCGGATTTGATCAGGTTGCCTTATCTTCAAGAAATGTATGTAATTCTGAGCCTTTAATAATCCACATTTAAACACAATTAATGATTTTGCTTATTTTCTTCAATTACCTGTATCTATAGTTTTGCATGAAAACACTCTCTGTTGCAGTGATCTTACTCGCAACTACCTCAACGGTACAATTCCTAAAGAATGGGGCTCTATGAAGCTTGTCAACATGTATGATTTCTCTATTATTTTTTGTTTTTGAGTTTTAAATCATTAGTGTATAGAATACATGATCCTGAAATATAAGTATAATATTATATTCTTTTTAATACTTTATAATTGTTATCTATATTCTATAATAACTCAATGCAACAAGCTAAATTGACAACATGTTTCTTAATCATGATAGTTCCCTCCTTGGAAATCGATTAACGGGTTCAATACCAAAAGAGATAGCAAACATATCCACTCTTCAAAGTTTGTGAGTGCTCATTATCCTCACCTTATTTAGGAAAATGTTTTTTTTTTTTTTTTCTCATTTCACATTTATGAATTATGCTTTATGTTTTAATTGTAGTTTTAGTCTTAGTTGCAATTGCATTGCAATCAATTGAAAAATTGGAAGCAATTCAACTGATGTGGCTGCATTGTAGTTGCGCGGTTGCAATACAAGCAGTAATATTATGGACAAATGCGATTAATACAACTGCAATTGTGGTCCAATGCAATTGTATAGACCTAAAAGAAAAGGGCAACGTTTATTGACCACAATTAAAAACCTATTATTAAATTTAGAGTTTTGTAATAGAATTTACTTTTACTTAAAATGGGTAGGGTATTGGAGAGCAATCAACTGTCTGGAGAGCTTCCACCTGAGCTTGGGAATCTAATCCAAATTCAAAGACTGTAAGCACTTTGTTCTACTTGCCAATTAAATCTTAGTACCTCCCTAAAGTTAATATCCTTTATCTATTCAATTTCCTTCATTGATGTTTCCTTTCCAAATATGGAAGACCAATGTTTGAAATCTAATCTGGCTTCTATGGCTTAAATTTATAATTTATTCTTGTTTGTTATTGTTAATTATACATAGGTTACTTTCTTCCAACAATTTTACTGGAAAACTACCTGTAACATTGGCCAAGCTCACTACATTGCAAGATATGTAAGCTTCATATTTTTATTATTACACTATATTCCCCTATTGGGTAGTGATGGCTAATTTAAAGAATATTATTTTTGAACCAAAAGTAACTCTTACTCATTTCACGCCCTCTCAATATGCAGTCGAATAAATGACAATCAATTCTCAGGGAAGATACCTGATTTTATTCAAAGCTGGACAAGTCTCCAAAGATTGTATACATATGAACTCTCTATTTTCATTTTATTTTATTGGACTACTTTGATTAGTTTTTCTATTGTTTGAATTAGTTTGTCTTATTTCCTCTAATCACCAATGGTCACTTTGATTTGACAGAGATATTGGAGCAAGTGGATTAAGTGGGCCAATTCCTTCTGGAATTTCACATTTGGAGAACTTAATAGACTTGTAAGCATGAATATGATATTTTAAACAATAAGTAAGGTTTCAAAATCAACTTTTATTTTAAAAGTGTTTACTTACCTACGAATCTATTGTCATATGCAGGAGAATTAATGATCTAAATGGATCTGAATATTCATCTTTTCCGGAACTTAATAAAACGAAGTTGACATATTTGTGAGTTAATTGCTTTGACTTTTTCAGCAATAAAAAGTTACAGAAGTTAAGGAATAGGTCCCAATAACATATAACTATCTATCTTGTTTTTCAGGATCCTGAGAAATTGCAACATCAATGGAACACTACCTCCATATCTTGGCAATATGATAAGTTTAAAAAATTTGTAAGTGCATATTTTCCCATTTTGTTTGATTGGATAAAATTTCTTTTTTATAATGTTTAACTTGTTTTGAAATCCTTAATATTCCTGTGCTTTATGCTCACTGCTTTGATGTGTATGACTTTTATATAGTTCCCCTGCTTACTAAATTGTAGTTTTTTTTTTTTTTTTTTGCGATTATCATTTTCTTTTGCAGCTTTTAAACTTATTCTCTACATGATTTTTCTTACAGAGACCTTAGCTTTAACAGATTGAGTGGACCAATTCCGAGAAACTATGATGCCCTAAGAAAGGTGGATTACATGTAAGAAAAATATCATACTTTCCTAGCAGTTCTTAATTTGGGTTATATTTTAATCACGAATCTATGTTGGCTTGTTTCAACTTTTAATAAGATTCTTCAAACTTAACTCAATCTACATATATTGTTTCTGTTGATTATTGCTCATATAATTAAAGTGACATTTCTAATGCAACATTTTTTGTCAAAAAGATCATGCACCCTTTTCTATCTGAAAGGGGAAAATCATTGAGAAAGATGATAACTGGTGGATATATATAATGAGACTAAAAGTGAGAAAAAAAAAAGATTTTCGATTTGGGTGCATTTTTGCATTTATTTCACTGATCTCAGTCAGTGTCTAAGACTCAAAATACTTGTTAATTGATAGAAGGATCCCTTGAGACAATAATATGAATTATTAAATCTTTCACACAGAATAAGAAAACAAATAAATGAGTGCGATTAAGGATGACTAGCCTATTTTTCACCAACTGTTGTAATCAATAAATGAACTATTCAATATATTAATCTCTTGATATTCTTTTGATGTAGATATTTAACTGGAAATCTTCTCACGGGACTAGTGCCTCCATGGACAGAGAACGCTGATAATGTGTGAGTTTTCTTTCTAATGTTACTTTTCTGATTCCTTGAATTTAGCAATACAAATAATTTGTAATGAAAAAAATACAATCCTTTGTTCTTGTTTTGTTTTTTTGTTACCTTTGAGTGGACTCTTATTTTATTTTCCTTTCTTCTTTGCTTTCTTTCCCTTCTTTTCATTTGAGAAATGTTGTTTTAGTTATATATTTTTTTATTTTGTCCTTGGGCATTAAGTCATGACCACCTAGCTAGTTGCATTAGTATGATGCAATAAAGGATATTGTTATATCTTTTCAATATTTCTTTTCTTGTTTTGTCATATTAATTATACAGCCTTATATAGAAGCTAGTAAATAATATGATAATAATCTTTAAACATTATTTTTTAAAAAATAATTTATATATCAATCTCTTATAATTTTAAAAAATAATACTAAAGTTAAATTATAAATTTAGTTTTTATACTTAACATATTTTTTTTCTTTGGTCTCTAAAAAAGTTACAATTTAGTTCTTTCATAGGCAATTGTTTTCCACTTAGTCCTTGTCGATTAAAATTCCATTGACGGTATTAAATGATAGAAACTAAAATAAAAAACAAATACTTTTGAACTTTTAAAAAAAAAAAACTAAATGAAACACATCGTATAAGGATTAGAACATGAATTTTAATTATGGAAATTAATTTGTAAATAAATATCAATTATAAGAGTTAAATATGTTTTATAACTAATTTTTTAAAAAAAATTATATTTGTTAATTTAGGAAAATAAATGACACCGAATAAAAAAATTATGAAATTTTAAGAAACTAAAAATTTATATTTTCAAACAAATTTTACGCAATGTAAATTTATACCTCAAACATAGTAAAAAAAATTTTCTTATAAAAAATGTCTTTTTTAAATATTCTGTAATAATTGATATATAATAAAATTTTTAATGTTGATGCTTTATTTATTCATTTAAAGATATGATTAAAGATAAAAATATAAAATAAGTAAATAGTAAATTATACCTTTAAAACTGAGTTCAAACAACTAATGTATTAAAAGATTATTAAAAGAAAAAATATTTATTATTAAAATCAAGTATGTTTTAAAAATAAAATAGAATTATATAATACAAGTAGTTTCTCAACTAAGTTTGATGTCGTATGTTCTTTTAAAAATTATAATCAGTTATGATATATATTTAATTCTTATAGTTGACACTTATTTATAAATTAATTTTTATAATTAAAAATTATATTTTAATCTTTGTATGATTTTTTTATGTCTTAATTCCTTTATCTAACATTATAGTGTGTATTAAATGATAAAGACTAATAAAAAAATCTTTATTGACGTAGGGATTAAATTATATTTTTTTATGTAATGATCGAATTGAAAAAACATGGCCTATTTGTTATTTTCTCTTCCCCTTTTATTGAATGTTTAATTTGCTTGAATAATCATCAATTGATGAACTGATCACCCACTTAGTAAGGAAATAATTTTGGAACTTTAATTTTGTTGCAGTTTTATCGCCTATTTTATGCATTGGATTATTGATGTTAATATTTTAGGTTTCTTTGAAATCCTTTGATGTTTATTCTAGTTTGCATATTATTAAATTCTAAATCCAATTTTATAACTTGTATGTAGAGATCTTTCATATAACAACTTCAGCATTGCAAGCCAGGGGAGTCAAACATGTCAAAATAGAAACGTGTAAGAGTCCTTGCATTTTGTGTGCATTTGTTTGTGAATTTAAGAGCCCATCTGAGTCACAATCTTATATGTGATAGGAACGTGTTTGCTAGCTCTTTGACGCCCAATGACTCGTAAGTTTGGTATTTTTGTTACATGTATATACTTCTTTCATTTTCCTTATTACGTGAGGAATCTTATGTATGCTAACTCATTTTGTCCTTTCCTTGATTCTCTCAGAGGAATTGTTTCATGTTTGAGAAGCGTTGTCTGTCCTAAAAGTAAGTTTCTTTGTGGTGGATTTTCTACAGATTGCTCTAAGTTTTAAATTAATTTAAGCTCTTATTAAAAAATATATTTATTATATTTTACATGTTTAAACTCTTTTATATAGATTAACGTTAACAGAAGTATTATTACATACTACTCAGATGGTTTCTTTTGTTTTCTAATTAAGTCACTAAATCTATAAGTTTATGCATAAGATTATAGATATTTCAATACAATTAGGAGTTTTGTTGATTTGATTGGAAGTTGCACATAGCTAGTTAATTATCTTCTCGTTTGTCTTGCTTATGAAGCTGGCATGCCAACCTTTCAATCTACTTAAATAGTTAAATCCTATATATATTTATGTGTGACATGGATTACATAACATTAACAACAAGAAATGACCACTTTTCTTTGAGTAATCATCACAGCCTAACATGACTCTTTTACATCTTCATTTGCAATAGGAAAAGAAAGGGGATAGTTTGACAGGGAGAGAATAAAAAAAATGAAGGAATATATTATTCTTATGTGATTTTTTTGATAAAATTTCATGGTTGCTCATTTTATTCTACTTGTCTCAGCCTCATACTCCCTTCATATAAATTGTGGTGGAACAATGGTAACAGTCAATAGAAGCAAATATGATGATGATTTAGATGAAGGAGGACCAGCTAAATTTCAGCTCAGTGCAACAAGAACATGGGCATTTAGCACTACTGGTAACTTCATGAATAATGAATACGCAAACAACTATATTTGGTCAAACAAATCTGTGCTTTCTGTGGCCAATGCTGAACTCTACATGAATGCACGAGTTTCTCCCACTTCTCTAACTTATTATGGATTTTGCTTGGGAAACGGAAACTACACTGTAAATCTACATTTTGCCGAAATCATTTTCATTGATGGTCAAACATATAACAGTCTAGGAAGGAGAGTATTTGACATCTACATTCAGGTATATGGTTAACAAATTTTTTTCACCTCTCAGATTTTTCCTCTAGAAAAGACTTCTAATCAAGTGGTGACTTAGTAAATAACTTTTGATTTTTTTTTTCACATATAAAATATCTTAACAATTATATATATTTTAAATTTAAATATGTTTTTGATCTTTATATTTTTGTGAGATTTTAATTTTAATTCTTCAAAAAAATTTCTTGTAATTTTAATCCTTGATATTTTAAATTTAATGCTTTTGATTTCTAGTAATGATGTGACTAACCATAGTATTGTCATGTGTCAATTTTTTTATTTTAAGTGTTAATTTTTTGTTTGGTCATGTCATTACTAGAGACTAAAAGTATTGAATTTGAAAAAAAATTAAGGACTAAATACAAAAGAAAAATATTTGAAAGAATAAAATCAAAATCTTATAAAGTGTAGAGAATAAAAATATATTTAAGCACAATTTTTTTCACTCAATAGTTCGCTAGTTTTGCCTTCATTTATATAATCAATTGCTCTGTGCTACATTATTTTTTAAACAATATGAACATAGAAATATTTAAGGCTTGTAATCATCATGAAGCATTGAGGTTTGGATTTAAATGTTGCAGGGAAAGCTGGTGCAGAAGGACTTCAATATTGTAGAAGAAGCAGGGGGAATTGGTAAGGCAATCATAAAACCATTCACTGCTATTGTGACTAATAATACCTTGGAAATCCGCTTTAAATGGGCTGGAAAAGGGACAACTGTTATCCCAAATAGATCAGTATATGGTCCTCTTATATCAGCTATATCTGTGGAATCAGGTGGGTTGTTCTTCTTTGCAAGTTCTTAGTCTCATGCCATCATCTTGATTTTATCATCTAATATATGTGTAATATTTTTGTATAATAATCAAGCAGATTCTCCACCTCCCTCAGAAAATGGAAGTAGCATATCTGCAGGATCTGTGGTAGGAATTGTGCTTGCAGGAGCAATTATTATCATCCTTGTATTTGGTCTACTTTGGTGGAAAGGTTGTATAGGAAAAAAACATTCTTTAGGCGGAGGTAATTACAAAAAAATTGCATAGCATTTTGCTGAAAGTCGTGAATTTTTCATGAGAAAAGAAAATTATGTATGCTGAGTAAGTTTGAGTATGTGCCCTAGTGTATCTTGTTATTTGACCTTGATTTGAGGCTTGTTAATTATCTAGTTAAAAATAAAGTTGTAGGCTTGCAGCATATTGATTGTTAATATAGCATTTGAAAATGAAAATTTCTTAATATAAGAGATCTCTAATATTTCTTTTGCTTCAATTAACAGAGCTAAAGGGTTTAGACTTGCGTACGGATTTATTTACTTTAGGACAAATCAAAGCAGCAACAAACAACTTTGATATTGCCAATAAGATTGGAGAAGGAGGATTTGGTTCTGTGTACAGGGTATTTTGCATAATATAACAAGTTCTCTTGATTTTCATAAATTTGTTGTAATTTTACACATTACTTTGTGACAATTATTTTTCAACATTCCGTTAACTATATAGCATTTCTAAAAATGCAGGGATGTTTATCAGATGGGACATTAATAGCAGTCAAGCAGCTTTCTTCTAAATCAAAGCAAGGAAATCGTGAGTTTTTAAATGAAATAGGCATGATTTCTGCTTTGCAGCACCCTCATCTTGTTAAGCTCTATGGATGTTGTGTTGAGGGAGATCAACTATTGTTGGTATATGAATATTTGCAAAACAATAGCCTTGCTCGCGCTTTATTTGGTAATTCTTCTTATTCAATCAACTTTGGTTGTTATTTATGTGATATTCCACGTTTTTAACTTATTTACATGACACCATGGTACCATTGTCTTATTTCTATCATATTCACAAATAAAGGTCCTCAAGAACACCAAATAAAATTGGATTGGCCAACAAGATACAACATCTGTGTTGGTATTGCTAGAGGTTTGGCATACCTCCATGAAGAATCAAGACTAAAGATTGTTCATAGGGATATCAAGGCCACTAATGTGTTGCTTGATAAAGATCTCAACCCAAAGATATCTGACTTTGGTTTGGCCAAGCTTGATGAAGAGGACAACACTCATATTAGCACCCGAATAGCTGGGACATAGTAAGTTCCTTTTTATTTTGCGTAAATTTTTTCAAGAAATATTTTTCATGTGTATAGAGTATAGACTAAAGAAATAAAAGTACAACCTACAGGAGCCATAAACTGACTTACCTTAACGAATTTGATTGAAGTAACTTATTATAGATTGCAAAAATCTGACATAGGAAAAATGTAAAACTTGTTCTAAGTGGTTTTATTGAGAAACTTGGTCTCTAATACAGTCTAACATTTCATTGATTCATGTAGCTAACCTAATAGTGGGATAAGACAGGTGTTTTAGTTGTAGTAAATAAAATTGAGAATTATTTAAGTTTCTAAATTGTATGTAGCTGATAAACTTCTTAACTTTTATTATATAGTGGATATATGGCTCCGGAATATGCCATGCATGGTTATTTGACTGAGAAAGCAGATGTCTATAGCTTTGGAATTGTTACCCTGGAAATCATAAATGGAAGTAACAATACCACTCACCGAAAAAAAGAAGAGTCATTCCATCTTCTTGAATGGGTAAGTTTTCCCATGTTGTACGTTCATACCAATTGTCTTTCGAGAATCTTAATTAAGTTCTTGAATAACACACTGCATGCCAACCATGATATTTTTGAAAATAAGTTTAAATACGCTTTGAATTTCTATAATTTTCATTAATTAGAGTTTTGATCCCTGTACTTTTAAAAGTTTGATTTTTCTTTCTTATAATTTTATAAGACTGAGTTTAAGTCCTTATAATTTTATTTTATTTAGGTTTAAGTCTCTCTAGTATGATAGACAATATTAGTCTGAATAATTGTATCTTGTGAGACACGTGTTTTAGCATATTGCTGGTAATGAAGACCAAAATTATTATTATTAATTTTCTTAAAATTATAAGAACTAAAACCTAAATTTTTAAAGTACAGAGATCAAAATTAAAATTAATATAAATTATAGAAACTAAAAATATATTTTTAAATAAATATTGTGTTATCTTAACTACTTGTTTTTGGAATCCTCATACTATTCCACCTTTGGGTATACAAGTATGTCCATTATATTAGAATGTAATATTAACTTGGAGCCAACTTAATATACATTTACAACATAAAAAGAAGAAGAAGCAAACTTGTGTAATCATTTTATGAAGTAAAATAGATTATCATGATTTATAAGGCATGAAATTTAATGCACGTTATAGGACAATGATATTTTTTTTGGCTTCCACGATAATCAATTTTGAATTTTATTCAAACAGGCACTTGATTGACTTAGAAATCAAATTGCTTTTTATATTATTTTGTTTACTAGGCACGTCTATTGAAAGAAAAAGGCAATTTAATGGAGCTAGTTGATAGAAGATTGGGTTCAGACTTCAACAAAGAGGAGGTAATGGTGATGATCAATGTGGCTCTCTTATGCACAAATGTGTCTCCAACACTTAGGCCAACCATGTCATCAGTAGTAAGCATGCTAGAAGGAAGAACTGTTGTTCAAGAAATGGTTTTAGAAACAAATGAGTTTTTGGATGAGAAGAAGTTGGAGGCAATGAGACAATATTACAATGATCAAAGTACTTCAACTGAAGGGCCATGGACTGCTTCTACTTCTGTTACAGATCTATATCCTATACACTTAGATTCTTCTTACTGGGAGAAAAGAGATTAGAGACTATGGAGAAAAATTGCATTCCTTTGTATCAATTATTTTGCCATGAATTGGTTTGTAAAATTCTTTTCTTCCTTGAAAAACCACACTCACATCACAACTTATGATGTTTAATGTACTCCATGTAATATTCTAAAAGTGCATTTATAAATAGTGATTAATGAAATATGTACATAATATTTTTTTTAAAAGATAGCTTTAACGATGAAATTTATTAAAACAAGTTAAATATAACATACTTTGATAAATTATACTAAAAAAATTTATTAAAATAAATTAAAAATAAATCTCATAAGATATTTTTTTTACCAGCTGTTTATAAGTTTTTTCTAAATAATCTTTAAAAATACATGAGAAATTTTAAATATTGAAATAATTAAAATTTTCTTTTTTTAAATGATATATCCATTTAATTTTGCATTGATCGAAATTAAGTAATAAAATGTTCAATTTGAATATAAACTCCATGAATCGAGAACACATAACTTTCTTAAATAATTTCTCAAATTTGTATTGGAATTAACTTGAACAAAAATAATCTACTTTTAAGTTAACCAGTAAAAGAATTGAATGTTATGCAGATTGATCCATAGAGAAGACCAAAAAGATTGATTCCTATAGCGACCTGTTGCTGTTGTTGTAGACTTTTTTGTTCATCTTCACTGCGTATTCATTGGAAAGAAGATTTAGCATCCTTTGTTGACTCATATATCAATTTTACACCCCGTAACGTGCGTTTTAATATAAAATTTCTAGTTTTAATTAATTTAAACATATTATATATATATATATATATATATATATATATTATTAGATCACAGTTAATTTTCAATAAATAAAAATTTAATTATATATTTTAATTATATTTAATGATATCAAATTAATTTGTTAATTTTATAAAAATCTAAAATAAACGAACACTTAACTTCCTTTCAAAACAGACGTAGTGCTTAAACTGCTTAATTTGAATGGCAAGATAAAAGAATAAATATGTTACATGCTTTAGTAAGTGCTTAGTAACTTCACATTTTCAAATTTTGTGACGAGAAGTATTGATTTGAAGAAGTTGAAATATTTATTTATTGTTTCAATAAAAGAGTTGATTTTGAGTGTAAAACCTGATATTATGATTATATATATATATATACACACACACACAAATACATATTTCACAAGTGATTTTATTTTATCATCTACACAAAATTAATTATAAATTATTATAGTTTTAAACAAAAATAAATTTTTAAACTTCAATTCTTTTGTTATTAATTTTTTAAAATATATTTTCCGAAAAATAATACAAATAGAAATTTGGTTTTGGAATAATAAAAAAAATGATATATCCAAAATATGATTTTTCTTCAATTAACCTTGAAAAAGTGTGTTTGGTGTTAACTAATTAAAGTCAAACCTAATAAACCCACTGAAGACGCAAAATTTTATAGAAAATTATTGTACCTATTGACAACATTGTCGACATTCGTAATTACGTAATTGAATAAGCTTTCACTCAAATCAATAATTATGAATAAGTTCCAAATTAAAGTAATAATCAGTTCTCAATCTATCAACAAAAACACGAATCAACAACTGGTTTGGAATACCAAGACAAGGAACGCCTTAATCATAGGAATACTTTTATTATTAGTTTTTTTTCAACATCTGGTTTACTATTTTACTATCATTTCATGTCTGAGCTTTCAAGAAACTGTACATAGCAAATTCCTTGATTATTTTGGAGTTTTTTTTTCGTTCATTTTATGTGAGCAATTTCTTGAACTTGTTACTGGATATTTCTTTTATCCGTAAATTTGTTGTTTGTCACGAGTTATCTATTATATTATCACTGTTTGGTAATTTTTTTTAGTTAAAATGTTTATTTAACTAAAATAATATTGTTTATTCTTTAATAAAGCAGCTGAAATTGTTATTACTAGCATTTTTTTAAAAAAAATAAAATTTAATTTATTTAATACATATTTTTCCAATAAAAATAAGCACATTACAAACAAAAATAAAATAATCGATTGCTGATATCTAAAGAATGATTTAACAAAATTATCAAATCTCATCTTTTCTAATACAAAATTGTCAAAATAATAATATAAATTTATTTTCATTATTTAATTTAATTTAATAAAATATTTGTAAATAATAATAATATTATTAAAAAATATTATTTTATTTTTTAAAATGATAAATGATTTTAAATTTTAAAAAATGACTTTAAATAAATTACGATATAAAAGGTTATAACTATTTAAAAATATATGATCAAATTTTAACTTTTGATTCAATAACTAATTACGTCATTATTTATTATTTTACATTTATTAGTTAATTCAATAAATTACTCTCCCAGATAATTTACATTCAATCAACTAACTCTTTACCTTTTTTTTTTTTTTTTTTTTTTATCTTTTAGTTTTTACTTAAATTTTTAGTTCCACTAATTTTGTCAAAATTCATCTTAAAGCTAGCATTGTATAATAGAGAAGAGTGTACGTATATATGTACAAAATTGACTCTAATACTCAAATCAATGAATATTGCAGCAAAATAACTAAGTGTGGGATATACATACAGGACACAAGAGCAGACCAACGTGATACACAGTGAACATAACCTATTGAAAGCAAACAGAACGATGAATGTGCATGTATCAATTTTATGTTGGGACCCAAATGAAGCTTCTAAGCCAAATTAGGTTACTAGGCCAGTGAAATTTGAACCTTCCAATATAAACCCAAAATAATTAGAAAGTAATTTAACATTCTACTTCTAATATTGTGAAACACACTTTAAATTATAACAATAATATTATGAAACACACTTTTAATTAGTTACGAAAAGTTTTTTTTATGATTTCAAAGTGTGACTACTTAATTTTATTTGAGTTCATTTAAATAAAATTTTAAAATAAAAAATTAAATTTTATAGAGTTAGGATTTATAAATTTAAAATTTTAAAAATAAAAATTAGATTTTATAAGATTTAAAATTTTATAATTTTATAAGAAGTTAGGATTTAAAAATTTAAAAATAGGTAAATATTTTTGGTTATAAGATATATAGGTTAGTAAAGAAAAAATCAATAAAAAATGGTAGATTTTTAGAAAAGTATATTAATAATATCTAAAAGATAAGAAAGTTAGAGTCTTTTACTTTTAAAAAAACATAAAATAAAATATAAAATTTCAGAAAGTAGTTATAAATATGACACTTAAGTCTTCTGAAAAAAAAGATACTTTTTTAGAACAAGAGAATCAAATGAAAAAAGAAAGAGAGAGAATTGAGAGGCAAAGAGATGAAAAAAGAAGAGAAAAAATTCGAGAAAGAAAAAGAAAAGAGATTAAAGAAAAGGAAAGCTTTAAGAATATTTAAAATAAAGAGAAAGAAAAGAATCCTCAGAGCATAAAAAAATTATGTAAAAATTCACTAATCTTAGAATACATATTTTTGAAGAACATTAAAGAAAAAACAACCTAATTTAAATCTTGAAAAAACCAACAAAAAAATGAGAGAAAGGGAATAAAAGTAAAAGAGTAAATAAAAAATTTAAACAAAAAAGCATCAAATAAGAGTTTTTTTTTTCTCTCTCTACATTCTTTATTATGTTATTGACATCGTTTTGTTGTATTGCTATTATTTATTTCACACTCTCATTATTTTGATTTATGTTTCTAAGTTCAATAATAAATTTTAACAAAAAAATATCAAATAATATTTTTTTTAATTTTTTTATACTCTTTATTATGTTATTACTCTCGTTTTGTTGTGTTAATATTATTTTATTTGCACTTTCAATTATTTTGATTCTTTTTTCTAAGTACAATAATAAACCCTAACAAAAACCACATTAAATAAGATTTTTTTAATCTCTTTACACCCTTTATTATGTTATTGATCTCATTTTATTGTGTTGATATCATTTGATTCACATTTTCAATTATTTTTATTCTTTTTTCTAAGTACACATTAAACTCTAACAAAAATATCTCTAAGATATTCTTTATCAAATTTCCCCTTTGATTGTATCATTAATTTTGTTTTGTTGTGTATTTTGTTTGTATTCCTAATTTTTTTATTCTTCTTTCTTAGTGCAATAATAAACTTTAAAAATCTAGATTTTTTAAGTTTGCGAAAAAGGATTTGTGGGGTTAGAAAAATTAGGCTTTAGGGTTTGCAAAAAAAAAAGATTTTTAGAGTTAGAAAAATTAAGTTTTTTAGGGTTTAGAAGAAATGAAATATTTTTAGGTTAAAATAAATAGGATTTGCAAAAGATTAATTTCTTTTGGAATTTGCAAAAAAAAAAGAAAGATTTTCTAGGGCTTATTATTGCACTTGGAAAGAAGAATCAAAAGGATTAAGAGTGCAAATAAAATGCACAACAAAATAGAGTCAATGATACAACCAAAAGAAAAAATTAATAAAGAAAATCTCATTTGAAGTATTTTTGATAGGATTTACTAATGCAGTTAAAAAAAGAATCAAAACAATTGACAGTGTAAATCAAATGATATCAACACAACGAAACGATATCAATAATGATAGAGTGTAAAGAGATAAAAAAGATCTTATTTGATGTATTTTTTTTTGTTAAAGTTTATTATTGAACTTAGAAAAATAAATCAAAACAAGCGAATAAAATAATATTAACACAATAAAATGAGATCAATAACATAATAAAAAGCATAGAGAGATAAAAAAATCTTATTAGATACTTTTTTTTTAGAGTTTATTATTGAACTTAGAAATAGAAATCAAAATAATTAAGAGTGTGAAATAAACAATAATAACACAACAAAACGAGATTAATAACATAATAAATAGTGTTGAGAGATAAAAAAAAGATCTTCCATGTTTACTTTTGGTTTACTCTTTAACCATTGCTTCCTTTTTCTCACTTTTTGTTGACTTTTCTAATATTTGAATTGTGTTGCGTTTAGTGTTCTTTGATAATATATACTTTAAGATTAGTGAATTTTTTCATAATTTTCCTGTACTTTTAAGATTCTCCTCCTATTTCTCTATATTTCAAGTATTCTTAGAACTTTAGTTTTCTTTGATCTCCTCTTT